TTTTGGTCGGGGGGGGTGGGGTAGTTTAGGTTTGGTTTATTTAATTTTTTGGGGGGGGGTGGGTAATTTGGTTTGTTTATTAAATTTTTTTTAATGGAGGTTCTGGGGATTGAACCCAGGACTTCGTGCATGCTAAGCGTGCCCTCTACCACTTGAGCTGTACCCTCCCCCCCAATAAATTATTCTTGCTTCAGGTGGTTTTTCTTGAGAAAACATTAGTGATACCCTTCCAAGGACACCTAGGCCCCTCCCTCTTTGCCCAGAGGCGATCACTGCCCTGGCTTTGGAGTATATTCCACAAACGTCTTTGTGCTTTGGCTACTTAGCAAGACTGAAACCATGCACCCATTAAACACCACGTTTTAACATTTTAGCGCTGACGGTGCTTGTAGCTCTGCCGTTCTCACTTCGCCTGCAGCACTGGTCTGTCGTGGGTTACACTGTGCTGTGCTTGGGGGGTTTCTAATTTTTCACTGTGGGAGGCCCCCCCCCCACCAGCTGTCCTGGCATCTCCGCGTGTCACCGCTGTCCTCCCAGAGCAGCTGTGCAGCTCTTCTGCCCGCCGAGATGGGCGAGCCGCCGCCTCTGCTGCTTCGCCTGCCAGTCTGGTGGGTGTCACTGCAGTGGGATTCATGTCTCCCTGCGTACTGTTGAGGCTTCTGTTCTTCATGTTGCATGTGAAGAGTCCCCTCCTCAAGGAGAACTTCCCTGTCCCTTCTTTTGGGGTTGTTGGTCCTTTCTAGGAGCTCCCAGAGGGTTTCTCACGTTGTGTTGTGCTGTCTCTAACCGTCTTCTCCGCCTGGTGTCAAGTGCCTGGCACGGTGACTGCATCTGGTGGTAGTCAGAGGTTTACTGAGTGAAGAGGTGAGTTAAATGTGCATGTCCGTGGATGTGGCCAAATCAGGTTTCCCCGTGCTTTGCTGCCTAATGTGTGTGTGTTCCTCTGTGTGTAGTGTTTTTGTAATTTTGTTTCATCCCATTAAGGAAGAGAAGAATGTTAAAACCAAACAAATATTTGAGTGTTAACTTTCCGAAAAATTAGAAGGTATTATTCACAGAGCTCTTTTATACAAGCTTCTGTTAATACATGATTTTAAGCACTGCAAAGTCAGAGAGTAAGTCCCTATTTCTTGGACTTTTAAAATTTTGAAACTTTCTTTACGGTGTTTTTCTTTATATAGTGTGTTTCACCAATGAGTATTTTTTGAAATATATGTATTTTAGGTTGTGCACGTTTTGTTGTCTCCCTGTTGTCTCCCTGCTTTTTTACTTTCTGAAAGATGCAGTGTACAGTAATGGAAAGAATTGTCCCATGTTGTGGAATATGAGTTCACTTGTGACTCAGTACTAGGTTGCCATGATCTTGAATGGGTTACTTCATGTCTTGGGTCTTTGTAAAATGTAGATACATCTGCTCTTCATACCTCAAAAGATTTTTCCTTTATTCAGATAGCTGAGTGTATGAAGAAGTACTTTGAAAAAATATAAAATGATGGTTATATTACGTCCCTGAACAGGAGTGTTTTGCTTTGAGCACATCAGTATGTGACATACGGAAAGGTTCTTTCTAAGAGCATTCAGATTAATTTTGTGAAGCTGCCCCCACAGCTGGTCAGGATGTGTTCTTGTCCCGTTAGATTTGTAGGGGTTGGGGGTGTTTTAGCAGGAGCCAGAGAAATGAGTGCCGTCCAGGACTGGCTCCGTGCATTGAGTGCAGAGCAATGGCTGGGAGCTTGGGCTTTGGAAGTGCCTCCCCCACTCACTCTCTGTGACGTTAGGTTGAACCTTGTGAAATCACTTTCTGTTGGTTAAAAAGATGCGTGAATATCAGCAGTTTGGTCATAAGGTTCAACCTAGTAATTTAAGCCTTAATTTTCTTAGTGAAATGATGATGTTAGAACAAAATTTACATGATGAGATTTAATACTTCTCCCTGTGAAGCTTTTAGCGAGTGTCTGTCTTTAGGAGATGCTCAATAAATAAAGTTTTAACTAAGCTAGCCTGTTGGGGGTTTGAGGGGTCTTAGAATTCCCAGAGGGAGCAGGAACCAGGAACTCAAGTTACAGGTGGGACTTCTCAGGGGTTCCATCCTAACAGTGTGCCCTCAGGTATGTGGAAGGGCAGCAGAAGCCCATGTGCCTAAGAGAACTCCGCAGGGGCAGGTAAGCCGGGGGCCCCAGAAGCTCTCCTCCTTAACACCACAGCCACCCCGGGCAGCGGGGTGAGGGGAGAGGGACCCATGGCCAGCGGGGCTCACGAGGACCAGCTGAGCAGGGCTGGGGAACAGAGAAGGTGGATGAAAGGCACTCCATCCCTGTAGGTGTTGTCCTTGAAGTTTTGAGCAGGTGAAGAGGAAGTTACAAAATTATGAGTCATGATCTCATTCTGCGAAAAAACATAGAAATCATGTGTTTTTATGTATGGGAAGTAACCTGAAAAGAAATACACTAAAATGTTAATAATTATTTCTAAGTGTTTCTGGGTTTTGTATCCCAGATAGTTCGCTGTTATTTGGAACTAGAATTCACCTGGACCTCTCTCTCTCTTTTTTTTTTTTAGTGTTATTTCGGAACTTTCTTAATTTAGATGATTAATTGCAAACTGATACTAAATTTGCTTTCATTTCTTATGTTTCTGTGAGTAGATTGACAGATATATTACTTTTTATGGTCTTATTTATGCTTTTTCCCCTGTAACTGAAAAAGGTAAAAATTTATGAATTAAAAATGGGAAGTCCTTATTCTTGTTAAATACAGCATTTCAGAAGACTCATACTAGTTTTTGGGTGGCAGTCTTTATGCCTTTGTTTCTGGTATCGTGGGAATTAAGGGCGCATGATTAGGAATCTGACAGCCTTCAGATTAATGAAAAACGAATCACTTTCTAGGTTATTTGCATTCAGAGTCTTGCTTTTGAATGTTGTCTTCGGTCTCCTCCCGTGGGTGGGGGCCCCCTGCGATGTGGAGGGAGGGGCCTGGTTGGTGGGTGGCTGGGGGCGTGGGTTTCCGTGGGTGGGGGCCCCCTGCGATGTGGAGGGGGGGACCTGGTTGGTGGGCGGCTGGGGGCGTGGGTTTTGGGCTTGGCTTGTCAACCAACTAGTAGTGAAGTGGCTTTAGGGTTGATAACCCCCTTCCTCTAAAGTGTTAGATGTTCCACTGGATGATCTCTGAGGTTCTTCTGGGCCTAAAAAATTGACAAAATTTTAAGGGTTTCATCTTTTAGGAAGGAGTGGTATCTGGGCTACTTTTTTTTCTTTAAATGAAGATCCCAGACTAACGGGATTAAAGTCTTTGACGCTGTTAAACAGCATCAGTAATGAGCAGCACACCCACATCTCCGCACACAGGAAAGGGCTCAGGTGGCCGCGATCCTGGGGCAGCGTGGCGCACACGTCGCTTTCACGGACCAGCAGCCCCACCTGGTGGCTTTTTCTCTTCACAGACATCGGTGTCGGGTGAGATGCAGCCAGTGCCCATCCCTGAGCTTGGAAATAGAGCTCCCTGATTTTTGTTCGTTTGTTTTGAGTCTTATTCTTTAAAAACAAAATAGTCTTAGCTGCCATAACCTTTCAAATGTTAGCATCGCCAATAATTGTTCTATTAATCTTAGAACTGTTTCCCCAAAGTGCTGTGCAGAGAAGTGGTGAAAAGTTGAGCAGTTGCTAGGTGTGTCGCTTTTATGGCACTTACGTAAAAAGAAACGTTAATTTGCATTGTTTGCTTTGTAGTTCTGGAAGCTCATAAAGGTCGCCTGACTGAGTTGTTTATAAAAAGGAGGCAACGAAGTTCTACACAGATGGAGGGTTTTTCTCGGGGAGCGACTTCATGATGGGAAGGGGAGTCACACTCCTTCAACATTAGTACTCAGCAGCAGGGTGTGTGGAGGCCGAGACCGCACACCCCGGGAAGAGCGCTTGCCCAGGGCTGTGCGGAGAGGGATCTGCCGCTTGGAGTGACGTGTCAGGGCCGGCCCTCAGGGTGGTGCGGGGAGCTCGGACTCTCACAGCTTAGACGGAGGAGAGTAGGAGTTGATATGCAACCTGCTTAACATGGATACTGAAACGAGCATTTCACAGTCAGCATTTATTCTGTTTCAGATGGATTGCCTTGTTTAAGTGATCTGTGAGGTAGAAACTGCTTTCTCTCCCTGTGTAGAAGAGAAACCTGTGCTGGTCCCAAGTCGGGGCAGCAGCACCAGGAGCTGGACGGGTCAGTCTGCTTCCTGGCCTGGGCCTCGTGCACTTTCTATGTGACAATGGTTAACAGAGTGATTTGGGTCTAGAACAGGGTTTTGATACTGGATTTGCCACTTACAGCTGTGCGACCTTGGGAAGGTCACTTAACTCCTTTAAACTTCAGTTTTCACAACTGTAAACTGGGTGCTTTTCAAATGGGGTAGTTTATTTAAAATAGCACACAGTGTACAGTAAACGAGTCTGGGGAAACATCGACCAGGAAGTTACACCCCCTGGAAGTGGGTTCTCCAGGCGGGAAGGGAGCTGCTGGCAGGGCAGGCGGGACCAGGGCGCCGGCGAGAGACCACGGTGGGGCTGCTGCTGGAAGACAGTGTTTCTCAGTGCATTTCTAAAGGTGGGTGGGGTATAAGTCTACTCTCCAAACATCACTGGAGGGGATACATAAATGAAACGGAGCTTTTATGAGCTTTCTCGTCACGCAGTGCTCTTGGCTAGGAACAGAAATCTCGGGTATGGAAAGTAATCACAACGATCCCTAATGGTTGGTACATGTTAGTATAAAGCTGATTATCAGGCGTTCACGTGCATGGTCTGTACTGCTGTTAACGTAAGCAGTGTTTTCTCTAGTGCTTCCATTTTGAAGGGCCTTTAGATTCAGCATTTTCTGGGGCACAATGCTTTTTAAAGGGAATTTTGTCTTGGGGAAATACTTTGTAAAGGTTAATTTGGGAAAAGCTGGATTTGAAAATGTGTAGCCCTGATAATTACGAGATTTTTACATTTACACTGACGTTCTCTTGTATAGGAGTTAAAGTTCCTCGTAATTTTCGCTTGTTGGAAGAACTTGAAGAAGGACAAAAAGGAGTAGGCGATGGTACGGTTAGCTGGGGCCTCGAAGATGACGAAGACATGACACTTACCAGGTGGACAGGCATGATTATTGGGCCACCAAGGGTCAGTGCTGGAAATTACGTATTTTTCTATTACTATTTATTGTTGCTTTAGAGTAAGCATTTTGCTTTGTGCTGTTGATACTAAAATAAACATGATAACCTGTCACTGGATAATCCCTCACTTGTTGTGTACTTTGTATGCGTTTGCTGGCACTTCCTCTGGAGAGTGTGGTGTGTGATTTTCTGGAGGCCTGGGGGGTGGGGGGTTGGTCCCCACTGTCAGAGCTTATGGTCTGTAGAAGAGAAGAACTGAATACGGAGGACGGAGTCTGACCTTGGCGGACAAAGTGCACTGCGGGACTTCAGAGTGTGTTTCTTCTAGCTGGAATAATTCAGCAAGGCTGGACAGTGGAGGAAGTTGCCTTTGGAGTGAGCCTTAAAGGACTGGCTGGTAGGATTTCAGATGGGGTGGAGAACATTCCAGATAGAGAGGAGAAAAGGTGAGGAGACGAGGGTCTCTGGGAAGAGCAAACCACATATTCCGACACGACGTGTTACTAACCCGCTGTGCGGGCACCAGGGTGTCTGAGTGGGTTTGTGTCTCGTGCACAGCGCCCTCGGCCACTGACAGCGGACTCGCCTGTGCGCGTTCTGGCTCTGAACTCTCTTCATCTGTGGAATTTAGGAAAGGCTGATTCTTTCTTACTTCCTAGCATTGTTGGCAGCAGACCTGTTGTCTTTTACGCTTAGGTCTTTCTCAAGCTTATGACTGACTTTTTTACGCAGTCTTTTTCAGATTGAGCAGCTTTTTCCGACATTGCTTTCCTTTTTCAGGGGCCCGTTTACTGCACACCTTGCAGTGAGTCTTTGAAATAATGTCTTTTTATGATGTTTTTTACTTGTTGGAACACAATTTGAAGTTCTTTTTAAGTTTTTGGTTTTGTGTACTGTTTGCTGCCTGTGTTGGGAGCATTTCAGCTGTTTTGCTGCTGGGTGTGATTTAGACTTCCTCTTGATTTTTACGAAAGAAAAATGGCCAGGTAATTAGCAATGTTAACTTCACAGAATCAGTTAATGTATGTTTTATATTTTCTGGTATTCCTTTGCAAAATTTGCGCACTCAACCAGACTAACAAACTCTCTCTTCCTCCCACGGCTCTCATTTTTCCATGAGACATGTGAGGAAGGAAATATAATACTGGTGGTTAGAATTCTTGATGTTTTATAAATTGGTATTTGTAATGAAAACCTTGATTTTCACTGCCTGTGAACATCATCACCATGGTCTGGTAAAAGGGAAAAAAAGGTGCTTATAATTTATGAATATTCTTACTTAATGAATAACTTGAAGTTGGACAGTCTCAACCTGGCGGAGTATAAATTTGAAATTACTTAGATTTAGTTTTTCTCCAGCCGTTACCTCTGGTGGACTTTAAACTTTGAGTGTTTTGTGTACGAGTGTCTCTGATTTTGTGGGCTGTCCCACAGCCTAAGTCCCAGATGTCTCTCACTCAGTTGGGGTCACCAGCAGAACCCCCGAGCTGGCCACCTGTTCTGGTGTCACTGAGCATAGGAAGCTCCTGGGTCCCACTGTGCCAGTAGGGGCCAGGGCTGTTGTAGCATAGGGTTGGGGATGGGTCTGTTCCCCGGGGCCCGAGACAGGATACTCCTGGCTGCCGCCCCCCTGGGGCTTCCCTTGCTGGGGCCTCCTCTCTCTGGGTGGGGGATGGTAGTCTTGGGGCACCCCTCTTCCTGTGGTGCAGGAGGAGGCAGGAGGGCACAGCTGGAGAGACCCTGCACCCTTCCGGCCACACTGGCCCCTGCCCGACATCTCTGCTTCGTGTCACCCCCAGTGAGGCACGTGGGGCTGGGCCAAGGTGAGTGGTCCCAGCGCTCACCCAGCTGCCTTTTACCGAGGCCTGCAGGGGCCGCACTTCGGCTTGGTTGTTGTTTCCTTCCGAAGGTGCCAGAACATTTAGGACGGTTTTGTCCCCAGCTTCAGGTATCTACGCCCAGTTAGGATAGTAGAATCCTCAACCTTAACATTGTTACTTGGTTAGTTGTTTCTCACTTTTCACGTGTTATGAGGATATCAGTTTTTAATGTTATTCTAGTATATATTTGGATTTATGTAATTGGCAGTTTTGTTTTTCCATATGTTTGTTTGTTAAATTTTCTAAAGCAATATTTTTAGCATCAGAGGTTTAGTAACTTGCCCAAGTTTCCTTACATGTAACTGGAGGTGCTAGACCTGTCTGTAGACGTTGAGAGAATTAAATGAATTAATAATTAGACAATAGGAGAGTATCTGACTACAGTGCATAGTTGATAAACATTAGTTCCTATTACTACTCTCTTTTCTGTGTTATCTTTCTCTTTCGTTAAATTACAGAAAGACTTGGCTGTTAATGTAAAATTCAGAGGCGATAAAATTAATCCAAGGTGTCAAAAGTTAGGATGTTTAAGCGTTGTAGGCTAAGTTAGAGGTTTTCTATTTGGAAAAAAAATGGAGGTATAATTTACATACAGTGAAATGCGTAGATCTTACGTGAGTTTGGACAAATGCACCTTGTTACTACCCACACCCCTATCAAGATACAGAGTGTTCTTGTCACCCCAGAAATTCCCTGCACCCCCACCCCCGCTGCTTCCTGTGCCCCAGGGTAGTCTTCCCTGGTGCAGGACTTGGTGGGGGTCGTGCCGCCTGTGTGCTTACAATCTGCTGCTTCGGACTCAGTGGGACGCCTCAGGTTCAGCTCTGTTCCCACACAGGATGTGGCAGCGTGTTTCCTTTTATCACTGAGTGGTATCTCACAGTGTGGCTGCACCATTGTGTGCTTATCAGTCATGTTCACGATACTCTCCAAATAAAGCTGCCATGATCACAAGTCTTCTTGTGAACCTAGGTTTGTTTCCATGTCTCTTGGATAAAATGCCTGGGATTGGAATTGCCACATCGTAGGGAGGTGTATGCTTATTTTTCTTGGTACGAGATGCCAGATTGTTCCCAGAATGGTTATACCACTCTGTACACCCAACAAAATGTGAGAGTTCTGATGGCTTCTGTGTACGTTGAGTATGTCTAACATCATGGGGTTTCTCTAGGACTATTACTGTTACTTTTAAGTTACCTAAAGAAGCTGATGTGCGTCCTGTTGGAGAACCACAGCCTAGAGGATTTCCTTGAGATCATCTGGGTTTAACCCTTTTCAAACCTGTCCAAGTGCTGGGCATATTAATAATATACGCTTGCTAGTACATTTGGATGAGTTTCGTACAGCTGTCTCGTATAAAATTCTAAAATATTTAATGACACACATACAAGATTGTTGCATACATTTTAAATTACGGTAGTTTAAAGACTCCGACCTGACCTCCGCTTGGGCGAGCTCTTACTTTGGGAGAGAAGCTGTGGATCAGTGTGGGTAAGTGAAGCCCGTGCTGGTTAGCAGCTTTTCCCCCGGGCTTGTCTAGGAACTAGCAGGTACTCGGCTTGTTGCTTTCATTGATTTTTTTACTTTCTTGTTTTAATTGTGCACTGATTAGTTTACCAAATGAGCAGAAGCCATGAGGATGAAAGAGGTAATTACAGGCGTGAAAATAAGCCCTGAAAAAGGGAGAAGCGTGAAGTCCGGTGGCTTTAAAATGGCGGGTTTGCAGTGTGGGGGTGTTTGGCTTCTTGATTACGAAGCCTTATTTTAAAATGAGACAGAAACATAAAAGTTGGCTATTGTCTATCTGCATTAGATAATGACCCACACAATGAAGTAAGAATGTAAATTAGCTAATAAGAGGCATGCATTATCTGTGTTCATGCTGTAAGGTGGTGTGGTACGGTGCCTTCCCTTTTGCTAGAAGGTAGTGACTGCTGTGCAAGTGGGGTAATCTTAGTTTATTGTCCAGCCAGACCCCTATGGGAACAGAAGGAAGCATTATTAATAATTAATAGAGGGACCTGGACAAATGGGGACCTTTATGTGTGTGACACAAGTCAAGCTACAGGGTACACTTTTTAGTAAAATCTGAATTTAAGTGATTTGTTTTTCCTTTTAATTTGTTACAGACATTGTTTATACCACAAAAGCAAGTTTTGATCATTTTGATATTACTTTGTAGAATTATTTTAATTTTATAAAATTTTCTAATTTTAAGTATGATTGCTGCATTTTTTCCTAACCATTTGCATCGTATAAATTTGTAGACAAGTAAATTCTTGATCATACACATGATATCAAGTACATTTATATTGAACTTTCTTTATTAGTATTTGAATATTATTATTATTTTTGCCTTCCAGACAAATTATGAAAACAGAATATATAGCCTGAAAGTAGAGTGTGGACCTAAATACCCAGAAGCTCCTCCATCAGTTAGATTTGTAACCAAAATTAATATGAATGGAATAAATAATTCCAGTGGAATGGTAAGTTAAAGTAATCCTTTTATTCTCGTGTAACCTATTAATGTGTAGTCAAGAGGAAGGTTTTTTTCTTTTTTAAGGGTCTTAGTTCACCTGAAAGTCTAAAGATGTTTATCTCACACCTGTCTCTCATGAACCTGCCTGTCCTTAGAAGCCTTCACGTGCCAGTCTAGGTATGTGCAGCCCTTCCCTTAGGGTTCTGTTAACCGCTTCAGTAGTCACGGTCCAGGGGAACCCTTACTGGTGAGAAAATGGTCATCATTTCTCTTCGGGTGTGGTTTTTCTTTAGGGCTAAGGTACATTTGGTGAGAGTAAAAGGATGAATATTCATGAGGAGGAGGCTTTTCTTTGAGGAACAAGCAGGTCTGTAGGAGCAGACGTTGTAGTTGAGCATGGCCGTCTGTTTAAAGCAAGTGGATCAAAACGATACTCCCTGGTTCACACAGGGAAGCTAGTGGAAACAGCCTCATTTCTGGTGCGGTGTTTGGTTCACGGCAAGGACGTGAAGTGCGGGCTCTTGGAGTGCTGTGTTGAGAGTGCCCTGACGTGCGGAGGGACCCGGTGACAGTGGCGCGGATGGCACCGTCTCAGGAGCAGTGCCATCACTGTCCTTAGGTTCTGCATGCATTTCTTCAGCCCGGCCCGCATGCCCTTCCCCGGCAGCATCCTGAAATGTTTTACATTCTCTCAGTCTCTTCGTGGTTTTACTCGCATCCCACCGTGTGTGCACATGTACACCTGTCCTCCTTACCCACCCCTGTCCACCCACAGCCTCCATCCAGAGCCATGCGTTCACACCGGTACCTCCAGGCCATCCCGACACTGCAGCCCCTGTTCCAGAGTCCGTTCTCCCATGTTCATGGGTCTCGCTCCAGCAGGGAGGACCCTGGCCCCGCCGCCCCGCGCTCGTCCTTAGCGCACTCGGTTGTGGAGGGCGCACACCCCGCTGCCCGCCAGCCTGCGTCCTAGCCTCGTACACAGGCCCCAAACTGGCCCTGGTGGGCTGGCCTCTGTCTGCTGGGTGCCCTGGAGGAAAGCGTGACGCTGATTGCAGGAGGGTCGTTGGAGGCTTGGCCCAGACCTCCCGGGTCCCTCCCTAACCGCAGAGTCCTCCTGCAGTCTGTCTGGCGTGTGGTTTACCCACTGAGGTTTTTCGTGCCATATGCTGATACGTTTACGTTTGAGTAACTTATCTTATTTTGTGGTTTCTGTTTTTTCCATGTGTTTCTCACTTTTGGCCTACTTCTGAAATGGCAGTTCTCGACTGGCGGCGGCGTTCCTGTGCTGCGGTGGTTGCTCTAGGCATTACGGTGCGCATCCTTAGCGGTCTCTGTGTCAGGCAGCGTTAGGCGGGGGCAGAAGCAGAGTTGTGAGACACGGAGTTTACAGAAGGGCTGTTGCTCGGGGAGCTGCTTTCGTGACGCACAGCCCTGCTCTGAGGACGTTTTCCTTGGGCTTCTCTCCCAGGAGCACCTGTTCTTCCCAGCTGCTGCTTCGTCGTCACATGACAGACTCTGCAGATGGAGTAACTCGTGGTGGGCTCTGCACTGTTGTGGGAACTATGAAACCCACGATTAGATGTCAGACCCACCCCGACCGAGTCACCTGCTCTCGTGGGCTTCTTGTCCATGTGGGACATTCTGCCGCTTCCTCTGCCCCCTGGCCCCCCAGGCTCAATCGAGAATCCTGTCAGTCTCCGTTGAAAATGGAACTTGGGTCAAGTCTTGCTTGTCTGTTTACGTTGCCGCTGAATGGGTGCTGGCCATTGTCTCTCGTCTGGCCCCTGCGCAACCTCTCTGATTCTGCCTTTTCACCCTCTCCAGTCTTTGCAGAGCAAGCAGTCAGAGGGACCTTGGCAAAACGCACATGTGTCCTGTTGCCCCTGAGGTGGCTTCAGCCACGGGGTGCCCGCCTCTCCTTATGGCTCACTGCGGGCACATGGGTCTCGCTGCCCGCACCCGTTCCTTTTGGCCTCAGGGCCTTTGCACTTTCTGTCCGTCCTGTGTGGACATCTCCTCCACGCTGGCCAGTCCCGACGGATCCTTCCCGGCTCTGTGAGCGGTGCCTTCTCAGAGAAGTCTTTCCCGAGTCCCTAGTCCCAGTTTTGTCCCTTTGTTACTCTGTTAGTCACTCTTTTATTCTTTCTCTTTGTAGCGATTGCTGTAAATTATCATTTTTTCTTTTTGTTTTTACTTCCGGTGTTCTAAAAGGATTGTTTCTCACACAGCAGACAAGCGTTAGCGGATGATATAACCAGCACCCTCCGTGTCAGATCTGACTACATCCTGGACTTACTTCCACCGTCTTTTTCTTTCTTTTCTTTTTTTTTAAAGGAAGGCTGCATTATGACTAGCTTCCCTCTGTGTGTACCTGTCCCTTGGAGCCTCCCCACTGCAGACTTGGTGTTTGTTGCTTCCACACGTGGCTGCATGGTTTCACCGCACACGTCGGTGTCCCCGTGTTGTACCGTGTTTGATGCCTCAGGGCATTTTGAGTTTCATCCGTGCTGTGTTGTGTCGTCCTCTCTTGCTGTTCAGTTAACACTCCATTCTTCACGTGCCAGGCATTGAAGTTTTCAGCTTCCACCGAGGGACCACCCCGTGTGAGCACCCCTGTGCCCTAGAGCTGGCTTCTCAGGCTTTTCGGGACTGAGTGTCTGTTGGTTACAGTAAGCTGTGGGTCAGTATTTTTACAGAGTTCGATGAAAATGAATTACTAGGAAATTGAAGGAGAAAATCCAAGCTCAGGGCCTTTTAGAAAAGATTCACCTGTCAGATTGCCGTGGGGCTCTCTTGAGTGCTCACTCTCAGTTTCTGTGCTAATCTTGAGAGGGACCAGAAGGCCTGGGCTGTTCCGTGGGAGGAAGTGGAACGCTGCTGAGTCCGGAGGTCGGGGGGCGTCTTGAGTCCGGTTGGTTGAGTTCTTCCCAGTTGTCCCCCCAGGGTTGGGCTGTGTCCGTCCCCCCAGCCCCTCCTACAGTCAGGCTGCAGCAGGGCCTGGAGAACAGACACAGATACTGATTCCAGCTGTTGGGGCGCAGGCTGGGCAGCTAAGACCCCAGTTTTCCTTTCGATTGATGTTTAAGAATTTAAATTGTGACTTTTGTGACCAGTAAATAAATAGAGTGGAATTTCACGTTGACCATCGGTGATTGGTCCAGGATAATTTTGTATGTTTTGAGATTATTTAAGTACCTGATGAATTACGGATGTTGCTTCAGTAAGTCTGGTTTATATTTATTTAATACAACTCGGCGAAATTATTCCCGGTGGGTGGTTCGCACTGAAACGTGGTTTCCAGCGCTTTGTGCCGTGAGGGCTCACGTCTGGGAGGCGGTTGTGCGTGCACTGATGGACGCAGGCTTGCTGTGACCCCCCCCCCCCGCCTCTGCCCTGCCCCCGGCCTTTCTGCGCCCTCTGTTGGTGCTCGCAGGACTTGCAGTTACTTGGGTTTACTTGCTGTCGCTGAACTTCACAGCTGGACGTGTTTGTTTCTGCCTCGGAAGCAGCTTGGTATTGTCCACACCTACAGACTGGTGTTTGCTTACGGACTGAGTTTAAAATAGGCCAAGGGGGTTCCACTCCTGAGGTCAGAGGGCGCGCGAACCCCGCGGGCCGCGTTCCTGTCTCAGTTACTCCTGACGGAAGTCTAAAAAAATTACTTTTCTTTTCTATTTTTAAATAGTTTTATTGTGCTATGATTCATACCATACAGTTCACTCAAGTGTAAAATGCATGTTTTTTACTGTTCGCCACGGTCGTGGACCCATTGCCAGAACCCAGTTTCAGAACGTTTTTGTCCCTTGGAGGAAGCCCTGCACCGGTCAGCTGTCACCTTGCCCCACACCCTGAGCAGCACCGGTCTCCGTCCTGCCTTCACAGATGTCCCGTTCGGGGCTTCGCATACTTGGAGTCATACAACTTGTGTTCTTTTGTGGCTGGGTTCTTTGACTTAACGCAGTGTTTTCAAGGTTTATCCGTGTTGCAGTGTGTGTCAGTGTTGTCTTCCTTTTATTGTTGAATAATAACCTGATTATATGGATATATGCGCCTTCAGTTATCTCCTGTTTTCTTCGTCCCTTGAGGACATCTGGGTTCTCCCGCGTTGGGCTGTCGTGAACGTCTGGGTACAGGCTTGTGTGTGGGCGAGCATCCTCGCTTCTCTTGGATTCATCCCTGGAAGTGGAACTGCTGGTGGTGGAAACTCTGTCTAGCTTTTTGGGC